TAGAGGTAGAGCATAGCCTAGCACAAGGCCAAAGAAAAGCAAAACTCGTCAAAGGGTGGATAGAGATCATCCAGAGAAGAGTAAAACTCATGAAGCATAAAAGAACTCATCCATGAAGAAAGACTTTGAGGTTATCGTTTAAGGATGACTCCCAGGTCATCCATAAGAAAGGAGACCCAGAGGTCAAACCTGTGAAGGAAGACCCCCCATAGTAGAGCAAATTTCACCCCTAAGGATTTCAGCATCAATTTGATAACTTCCACTTCAGAAAGTTCTGTTTGGAGTTAGGAATCTCAGGGATATTATGACATGTTCAAAGTTTATTTTTATTTTTGTTTTAATAGATGATCAAACCTTTTTATATACAATTTTGAATTCACTATAATAAACACAATAAAAAGTATTAATTTTTTGAGTATCCACCAAGAAAATTTATGGGATCACAAGAATAATTATGCTTCATTTGAGAGATTTATTAGTAAATGCCCCATCCCGAATTTAGTTTGAATTTGAATATGATTTAGTAGTAAATGCCCCAAATATATTCAAATTCAAACTAAATTCGGGATGGGATAAGCTCTCCTTCATATCTCATCTTTCTATACCTCTCTTGTGAGTCTCAACCTAAACTCACACTAATAATCTAAATCGTCTACTTCGTAAGTCTCGTAATAAAAATTATCCATACAAAAAATCAATAATCTGAATGTTTGATCTCATATGTCTCGCAATAAAGGAGGTGGTTGTATGTGTGAGAGAAATGGCACTCCAAATCCCTACTTGGTTCAACTTGTAAGTCAACTGAGAGATGCCACATCAATCAACACCACCTTATATACCGGTGCCACAACATCAAGAAAAGATAAGAGGTGCTTCCTCCTCATGGTAAGTTAATACTTCTCATTTTAGTATCCAAAATAAATAAATGGAAAAGTTGTTTCGTTTTTTAAAGTTTGTATTTTTGCTCTCTATTTGCAGATAAGGCCGGCGTGAATGAAAAGGGATCAGAGCAGACGCAGACGTGGACTTCCTAGTACTTATGACTCATTACAACCCATGTTTTTATAGCATCACCATATATATGGGATACTTTTGTTTTTTGTTTTTTTTCTCTTCATGTTCTTTGTGTTGACATATATAGTCAACTTTTGAGGCCAATCACGGTAGGCCAGAGTAATTGTCAAGGGAATTCTGTGTGATTTGCTCTAATTTTTGTTTCCTCTTTGTCATAATATTATGTATATGGTAAAGCCATAGTAATGAGTTTGAATTCTTCATTTCAATGCTTTTGTAGTGAATGGGTTGATAATTGTTAACTATTCATTGTTTTAAGAATTTGTGTGTAATTTGATGTTTACATCACTATCAATTTCAGGTTTCGAAGCTGAATATTTTTGTACCTTGCGTGCAGACAGTTTGTATTACAGGAGCTTTTTACAACAAGATGTAACAGATGTCGATTGGAATTGTGATATGGATGGTGTTGTGGATGGATTTATTTGGCAATGTTATGGATTTGTCTTGAACAAATGCATGTTTTATTTTTGGGATATACTCTGGATGGATTTGCACAAATTAGTCAGCATGGTAGCATGGTGGGACTGAGACATATCTTGCTTCTTCTTTTTTTCCTATGGGTATGAAATCCAAATGTGTAACTTGCACAATATTTCAAACAGTTAAAGTGAATTTTATAGTTGTGACATCTCCAAACTTCAATTTCATTTCAGGATAACAATATGCGTTTGTTTAATTTAATATTGTATACTTGCTATTTCATCAATTTCCTTTACGTTGGTCTTCTTTTTTTTTTTTTTTTGGGCTAGTTTGATGAAACAATGGAGATTATTTTGTTGAGTTTGTTTATGTACTGAAAAGGCACAATGACTTCTTTGCATTTGAAAGATGTTGGCATGTCATTTGTTGGGTGTGATGAGTGTCTTGTTTATGCTTTTTAAATAAATAAAATAAAAATTTGTACAAATCGGATGATGCATCAGATTATCTGAAACATTGTAGCCAACCGACTTGAGTTGAGTTGATCTCATGTAGAGGTAGAGCATAGCCTAGCACAGGGCCAAAGAAAAGCAAAACTCGTCAAAGGGTGGATAGAGATCATCCAGAGAAGAGTAAAACTCATGAAGCATAAAAGAACTCATCCATGAAGAAAGACTTTGAGGTTAACTCGGAGTTCAAACCTGAGAAGGAAGACCCCCAAAAAAGTCACATAGAAGGAGCATAGTGGAGCAAATTTCACCCCTAAGGATTTCAGCATCAATTTTATAACTCCCACTTCAGAAAGTTCTGTTTGGAGTTAGGAATCTCAGGGCTGTTATGACAAGTTCAAAGTTTATTTTTATTTTTATTTTAATAGATGATCAAACCTTTTTATATACAATTTTGGATTCACTATAATAAACACAATAAAAAGTATGAGTGTAATTTTTTAAACATCCACCAAGAAAATTTATGGGATCACAAGAATATTTATGTTTTTTTTTTAGAGATTTATTAGTAAATGTCCCATCCCAAATTTAGTTTGAATTTGAATATGATTTATTAGTAAATGCCCAAAATATATTCAAATTCAAACTAAATTAGGGATGGGATAAGCTCTCTTTCATATCTGATCTTTCCTTACCTCTCTTGTGAGTCTCAACCTAGATTCACATTAATAATCTAAATCGTCTATTTCGTAAGTCTCGTAATAAAAATTATCATACAAAAAATCAATAATCTGAATCTTTTATTTCATAAGCCTCGCAATAAAGGAGGTGGTTGTATGTGTGAGAGAAATGGCACTCCAAATCCCTACTTGGTTCAACTTGTAAGTCGATTGAGAGATGCCACGACAATCAACACCACCTTATATACCGGTGCCACAACATCAAGAAATGTGTTTGGTTTGTATTTGTAGAGTAGTTTTTGAGATAAAAATACAAAAACTTGTTTGGTTTGCCTTATTTCAGAAATGGTTTTGGAAAATTATTTTGGGAAGAATTTTAAAAAAAAGTGATTGATTTGATGTGTATGATAGAGAGAGTAATTTTGAAAAATAGGTAACCAAACAAAAATTTGAGATTTTTTTTGAAAAAATTTGTTTGATTTGATTACTCTTGAAAATTTGTTTGTAGAGAATTTTTTTCAAAAATTTTTCTAAAAAACAAACCAAACAAGGCCAAAGAGTTTTAATTCAAACATTCCACAACTTCTTCCCCATGGATTTCTCTTTTCTTGCCTTGATTTTCTCCCTCCTTTCCTTTTGGGTAAACTACCACTAAGTTTTACTGATTGGACTTAATTCTTATCAAGTTCTATTGAAAATAAGTCCTAATAAAATTGTCACTAAGAATAGTTTTATTGTGAATTTTTTACATGTTGCTAAAAATTGATGATTAGTGATTTTTTTATCAAAATTTTTATAAATTGTTACTAAAATATACAATTAGTGATTTTTTTGTGACGAATTTTTCAAATTGTCGCTAAAAGATGTAAATTAGTAGCCTTTTTTTGTGATAATTTTTTTAAACTGTCGCAATAAAATTTTCAAACTGTTGCTGAAAATTAACAATTAGTGACATTTTTTAATAATGTTTAATGAAAAATGTCATTAATTATCATAAGACCTATTGGACAATAAGTCCATTTACTTAGACCTACACGTAAGTTCCCATTTTCTTTTTTCAATCAACATTTCAAAAACTTTAATCAATAATGTAAACTTCTAACAATTTTTATTCACCCTAATTTCTATTTGCATACATTATGAAGACACGCATTTGATTAAAAAATAAATTCAAAAACAAAATTTTTGGATTGTCATTGCCACTCTCAGCCCTTTATCGCCACTGAGCCCAAAATCCTAATTTTTATTCTCATAATACTCTCATCTTCAATTTTAAAATTCTAATTTTTCTTCCATTCATCCACCCATCCTCTGTCGTCATTGTTGCCACTCTCAACCCTCTGGCATGACTACCATGGCCACAAATGCCAAAATAAAAAATGATTGCAAGGGACTTTGACCCTCCTCGTGAGGATAGCCCCAAGTAGAACAAAGGTCTCAAATGGGGTCAGTTATACACTAAACTGACTCCAAAATCAAGAAAGAATAATAAACCAATTTGATCCTCCTCCTGAGGATAGTCCCAAATAGAACATGGACCCTCACCGAGAGGATAGTTTAAATAAGACTTCGTCGCAAATGAGCTCAGATCGGCTCAAAGCTAACCCTAAAATCAACAAGAATTGCGAACGTGAATTGATTGGAGTGAATCTTACTCTAACAAAGGCCCATAATAATCACAAGAACTTATATAAACTTGGCTGACCTCGGGGTGGTCTTTTGAACATAGCTGACCCCGTGGGATGACCCTGGGGTGACCATTTTAAACTTGTTGACCAGTGGTCTTCTGAACTTGGCTGACTCTATTGACGGCCTTTGACTATCCTGCACATGGAGAAGGGCTCGTTCAACATTCCTTGATCAGCATTAAATTGCCAACTCTGTTGATGGCCTTTGGCGATCTTGAACATTGGCGGGTCAGCTCTCTCAGCTTTCATTTGCTAGGCCTTTGTAGAGCTGCCATTCAAAGTATACAAGAGTGTACTGAAAAAAAATGGAAATATTATTTATAGAATCTACAATAAGGGAAGTAATTGTGTCCATTTTCACAATTAATTTATATCATCATACTTTTTGTTTTTTGTTTTTGCTTTTATAGAATCTACAAATCAAAATTTATATCTCATGACCTCATCAAATTGTTGGGCTGGCCCAGCCCGTAAGAGTATATCTTGTGGTGATTCAATCTTAAAATATAAAATCAAGAAAGAATAATAAAGGACTAGAGTCCCAAATGGTGTTAGTTTTGCCCTAAGCTGACAACAAAATCAAGAAAGAATAATAAAGGACGTGCAACCTCACCAAGAGGGTGTCCCGAATGAGCGCAGACCAGCTCAAAGCTGACCCTAAAATTAACAAAAATTGCAAAGGTATCTCTACTCCAAATAGAGTCAATCATACCCTAACAAAATAAGGCCCAGAACAATCACAAGATCTTATAACAAGATCTCGAGATACAAAGCTTAAGATCTTAGAACAAATACATGAAGATACAAAAGTTAAAAGCAAAACAACCACAAATATTGAGGGTGCAAGGGTTATAACCCGCCAAAGAAATAAAATGGCTGATGTGAATTCTTTACAAAATATCTAAAGGAGGATGCAGAGTTAAGAATAGGGGTTCATTTTTCAGCCAATAGCAGCATTAGTTGTGACGGCTTGCATCACTTCATCCCCATCACCTACTTCAGCAGCAGAGAGAAAGTGCAGTAGTGCAGATGCTGAATCATGTAGCAGAGATCAAAAAACCATGGGGCAGAAATAACTTTAAAGATTACAAAAGTAAAATAAAAGAAAATCTCAGAGCAACACTCTACCTCAAAGAGTACATAATCAAATCATAAACGCCTTATTCCCATCTTAATAGCAATCGCAATGGAGGCCCATTGCTGGCATGACAAAACATTTCGCAGATATGGTTTGATCGTTCTCTTTGCCTGAACATCCCTAGAGGAGGTAGACTGAGAACCTGAGGCTGCTCGTATTGTATGGAATGATCGGGCCATAAAGGTCTAACCAGTTGGAAAAATATTAATCTAGACCAAGGAAAAGAAAACATCACAAATTAGAAAACAAAGAACAAGGTAATACATCAGCACAACTATTTGGTAGTCTAAAAAACGAAAATAAAAAAATATGAAAAAAAAAACTTAAACAAGGATTCCTTTTCTTTTCCTTGTACATAAACAGGGCTTCCTCCTCTTTTTTTTTTAATTTTTATTTCCTTTTCTTTTCTTTCTTTTCTTTCTTTTTTTGTTTTTCACATTTGGATTAATTATGGTAGAACATAGGACTGGCGACATCACCAAATCATCTTGGGATGACAGACACCACCGCAAGAGGCACCTAGGTCATGCCTCAACCAGGGCAGGCATGGAATACACCATAAAGAAGGGGGCCAAAGGCAATAAAAGATAGAGGATGTTGCACTCAAGGGGAGAACATGTTCATCTAAGAAAATGGTCCAAATGACTAGAGAGTACCATCACCATCAAGCAACCAGTTTAATAAAATACAAAAGAACTGTATATACTGGCATACCTCAGTAGGATGGTTGTTGAGTATATGGCATAACGGAGCTTAAAATTGCACAAAGAAACTCTTTATTATATTACTAATAAACTCATACAGATGAGGGGAACCAAGCAAGGGTGAGAGAGAGGAGACTAGGAGGTGAGACATACAGATTTGAGAGGGGGGAATCAAGAAAGAGAACCAAAAGGTGAGAAAGAGAGTTCAGTCCAGTCGATATCCCAATGAGAAAGATGATGATAACCCCTACAGGATAAGGGTGGTCTCTCAAGAACCATTACATGTATCCCTTGTAGATTAAAAAAAATATATCTGATTGAAGTTAAAGTGCCATAACCTTTCACATAATTACTTAAGTGTTACATACATATAATAAGGAAGTCATGCGTTAGGTGCAAACGCACTAACGAGGAAGGCAAGCAATACATCCAATCGGTTATTTATTCTCATACTCAAGTGCAAACAGGAGGCATTGAGTAACATAAGCGGCACAATGTGTCATCATTAACGCAACACATTCAAAGATGATGTAATGATCGTAAATATCTTTGACGGTTAAATTGAGTACAATATGTAAGCGCTCTTGGATTGCTTCGTGTCTTTGTCTGAAAGCTCCGACCTATCGTCTTGACATCTCAAAATAATGATTAAACATCAAAGAAGTAAAAGTACATCAATAAGGAACAGCTCTCAGGCCTCTTGTTTGAAGCTTGCCACGATCAGCTTTAGGGACTCTCTATCACTGTGCTCCTTCCACAAATTTTTGAATAATGGCTTCATCTCTGCTCGAGAACATAAAACAGATAGTGCTCTTTGGCTCTTCTGTAACTGAATTCCTCAGGATCCTCTATACCAACCTTACTCGAAGAAATACTGAGAAATCAGCATACCGCGAGTCTTTACTTTAATCCCCAACATCAGAGGCAAAAATAAGACGAATAAGAGGACTCAACATGTAGTGATCTTATTACGCTAGTTTCGGCGTGTCTGCGATATGCATTTCCCATTCCTTCAACTTTCTCTCACCAAATCTTGCTCGAATTGGCATACCATCGTTGGTTGGCCATAAATCCTTCAAAACAATATAAAATATAGTAAATAAACAAATCATAAATAAAAACAAGTGAAACAAAATCCTTTCTTTTGGGAGCTACTTTTTCTCTTCCTTTCCTTGATGTATGGAAGCACTTAAAACTGTTAAAGCCTGAGTCTAACTCTCCATCCTAATACACACTTACTTCAGTCGCTTGATTCTTTCCAGAATAACAATAGATACTACAAGTCAAACAAAACAGATAACACGACAACATTCATTCAAATACACGAAAATGATAAGCACGTAGGAAAATTTTGATTTCGAGATTGGTATCATAATAATCATTAAGAGCGACTCATTAATGACATTAAGAGCATACGAAATAAATATCCCAAAAGTTTGTAATGAACATTATACAGGAAAATTAAAAGTCACGGACTTCGATCTGTTCAATGGATTAATGGCATCGTACTTCGCTTGGCATAGTATCTTCGCTCCCTGGAGTAGCCATGCAATATCTAAGCGGCCTGTTGTGATTGGGTGGTTGACAACGTCACAAACCTGGGTTGGCTTGTTCTAATTCTTTTTTTTTGGGGGTCATGTCGCTCCCGCCCACCCGCCGACACGCGCCGAGAAGCGATTCGTCCCCCCCTTTGTACGTGCGGTGCTCGTGCGTTGCGAGCCAAAACAAATTGAAAAAGAATGAGGCGGGTGTGCCACAAAGGATGGGAGGAAACTGAGAGAAGTATCAATATCAAGAGGCGAAGAGATGCAAAGATTCATATATACTATAAGCCTGAGATAGAATCTCATCAATGGAAAAACAATGAAAAGAAAAAGATCGCCATGGCAGTAATGAAAACAAATATGGTTTTCTACTCTTTGTATAGATACAAGGAAAAAAAGATATGGAAATATAATCAGTAAAATGCAACTAGCGAAAGAAGAATAATTGATGGTGAGTGCGGGGTCGGATTGGTGTCTAAGAAGTAAGATATGTCGTGGTATTATTCATGTAGGATATCTAAGCCAATCAATCGATATACTGTAGCATTGATTAACTTTCGTTTTATGTTTGTATTAATGTATGAACCTATCTGAAGTTTGTCCGTAATGTAATCTTTAACTTGATTCAATTTACTGCTTTTATATGCTAGACCCTGCTAATCTGCAAGCCGACACATGGATTACACCTACATTAGTCATTTCGTTCTTTTTCGGCCTGAAAATAATTGCTACTTTTTAGATAGTTGTTCGCCACATTTCTTCCATTCTCGCAATTCAGTGCAGGCCGTAATACAGGGCGAGTAGATCATGATTGCGGCCCGTTGCCCCAGGACGAGCAATATCTTCTTTGTTCATGGTGTAGGTAGGCTCTTCGTTTCAAACCACCCTCTAGCAAAGTTAGTGGGCTGCTCTAACTACTTAAGATAGTATTGGTGGATAGCCACTTATGGCGTGCCATGGTTGACGATAAGGAGGCAACTATCCTCTTGATCTAGAGACTTGAGTGAGGAGCCGGTCTCTCGCCTAGCAGGTCATCAGAGAGACGCCAGTTTTACACATTTCCTTGCTCTTGGCATAGTGACAAATTCTAGGCTACGGCTTCTTATTCGTGTGTCCATGTAAAGCACGGGGACTGGATGAGAATCGCCATTCCTGTCTGTTTCTGGCAGGAATTGTTAAAATCGTTCAACGGAATCATTCAAGCTGCGCAAAATTTCATCATAACGTTGCAATCACACAATTTTTTTGAACTAAAAAGGGTAATATTACATTAATTCTCATATTGGCACTCATTAAGTGAAAAGTGCAGTCAATTGATTAGAGAGAGAGAGAACTCTATGACCATGCATCAGCCCTATCTATAGCAACTCAGAGAAAGGTTTTCTAGATGTTCACATCTCAAAAATATTTGATGACTGCTGGGAAATTCAGGAGCATCATGCCACAACACAGCACACACAAAATAAATAATAATAAAATCTACGGTTACAGATTCCTCCTCATCACTCGAAAAGTAACAAAAAGTTGAAATGGAGATAAGTAGGATTAATAAATGTCGTAATTCATATGTTGGCTTATACAATAGTTGAGTTCTAAACACGTCTGTATTTTACGACTAGGTGTCCTTTCTAAGGTACCACACAAAGATTGTCTCGAGTTTTACCTTCAGCCTCTAACTACTCGTGTGAAATGAAATGACAATGCTCAATGTGCAAAAATTAAGATAACTTGAAGCCTTAATGTATAGCTATAAGTGAAACGGGTGTAACTGCGTCAGGGCAATCTCTGATTGTGTCACCTTCAGGGGGCTGTAGGGAACAGTGTCATTGCATACGAAAATCACTACCATTGAACAGGGATACTATATTCTGTTTCTACCTTTTCTTTACGCATTAGCATCTGGAGTTTCAAATCATGAAGCAAATGCATGCTAGCTACATTTATTCGCTTCATATTACCTTCAATAAACTCCGCATCTCCACTAGTGCACCATGCGGGATCTAAAACTAGCTTTTATTACTTTCATATGTAAGCTCAATCGTCGCGATTCACAATTCCGGAACACTACAAATTCTATCCTTATCATCGACAAACATCGATCATTGTATCCTAAGTTCGTAGTCTCTGCTTGAGAGAGACGTCAAATCCTAAATCAAAATTATCGCTGCAACCGGTTGACCGGTCTCTGTAATGTGGACCGCTATTGAAAGATCAGATTACACAATATGTTTTCATTTTTCACCCGGATATCCAAACAAACTCTGTTCACTGTAAGAGAAATAGGAGGAACTTTGAATGAAGAGCACTACATACTGCATCATTCGAACCCTTAATCATTACTATTGCTAAAATTCATAATAGATGCCTATCTTATATTTATTCCATAAAAGATTTCATCATTATAGTAAAGCAGAATAAAAGATACTAATAGTTACCTGGGGTGTTACTTGACTCGCACGGAGCTAGTTACGGATATTAGTATATGTTGTAATTAACAATTGAATCTAATCAACACTAGGTTTATTATACTAAAGAATTTAGAGAGTTATGAGTTATATAAGAACTAACTTATTAAGGTAAATGTTAGAAGAGTCAATAATTTAAAGCAGAGGAGACATACATCAACATCTCAACATCACTATTCAATCCCGTTTAGGACCCGTCGTATCTGTGCCTAACATCCACTACTAATCTGTTGAAACGAAACCATCATCTAGGCTGAAGCCTTTCCTTATCTAATATTGTACATAAATATACCACGGTGTACCATGCAGCTAAACGAGGAACGCCTAGAGGTCAAAGAAAATGTTAGTTCAACACTTTTTAGGTGTCTCTTACGTCTAACACTAGATTAATACACGTAATTGATCACACTGTTACATCTGGTCATTTACAACTATGCACTTACTAAACTATGATCTATTTTCAACAAATTTG